GCACACGTAATATGACACTGAATGGACCGCAATCACTCGGATTTGTTGAATGTAAAACTCATGACCTGCTCTGTAACCTTTCATCAATTCACAGTAAGAAGCTAAAAAAACAAACAAAACATGACTGATAAAGGACTTGTACCCAAATTATACACTGGCCTATTAAAACCTCAATAACAAAACAAAACAAAAAAACAATGAAAAAATAAGCAAAATATCTGGAGGCCTCCCCAAAGAAGACATTCAGATGGCAAGTAAACATGAAAAGATGCAGCATTGCTATGTTGCCCTTGTTAGGTACCACCAAATTCATTCCAACTCCTAGAGAGCCACGCACAGCGGAAGGAAACTCGGCCTGCCTGGTCCTGGCCCCCGCTCGAGATTACTGTTGAAGTCCACTGTTGGAGCTACTGTGTCAGTCCACCTTGTTGAGGCTCTGCCCTTTTTCGCAGATCCTCTACTTAACCAAGCATGAGGACGTCCAGGGACCGGTCCCTCCTGATAACAAGTCCAATGTTAGGGGAAGTCTTGACTTCTAAGGAGCACTGTGGCTGTACTTCTTTCAAGTTCATCCTTCTAGCAGTCCATGGTTCAAAGGCATCAGCTCTTCCTTGTCCTCCTCATGCATTACTCAGCTCCCCCAAGCCCGTGAGGCAACTGAGAATGGTACAGCTTGGGTGTGGCACACCTTCGACCTCAAAGTCACATCTTTGCATTTTAACACTTTCACAAGGTTATCTGCAGCAGATCCGGCCAATACCTATCAGCTAGTGTGGCACTGGAGGATAAATACTGGACTGCGAGATTTGTCTGAACCACAAGTCAGTAGTTCAAACCCACCATCACTCCTCAGAACCCCAATACAGGGTCGCTATGAGTCGGAACCAACTTGACAACAACAAATGCTCACTGGGTCGTTGGATTTCTGACTGCTGCAGATCCAAGTAAAAGGAAATCCTTGACAACTGCAATCTTTTCTCCAATGATCATAATGGTGCCCACTGGTCCAGTTGAGAGGATTTTTGTTCCTTTATGTTGAGGCATAATCCATACTAAAAGCTGTAGTCTTTGATCTTCATCAATATATGCTTCAAGTCCTCTTCATTGGCAGCAAGTATCTATCATTAGCCAATTGTAAAGTAAAGCAAATTATACCATGACACACGCTTTGTTGTTAAATGCTGTCTGTCAACTTGGTTCCGGCTAATAGTGTCCATGTACGGGGCTTCCCAGGAGTGGCTGGTGGGTTTGAATCGCTATCTTACAGTTAGTAGCCCAGTGCTTATCCAACAGTGCCATACCTAGACTCCACACACCTATTGTTTACCGTTGTTAAGTGCCATCAAGTTGGTTCTGACTCATAGGGACCCTGTATAAGGTTTCCAAGGATCAGCTGGTAGGTTTGAACCACCGACCTTGTGGTTCACAGTTCAGTGCTGATCCTATAGTACCACCCAGGAGTCCACACACCTATTAGAAAAGAAAATATCCCAAACACTGGCAAAAGCAAATGCCGGTGAGGGAGAGAAGAAATTAGAAGTCTCATTTGCTGCCGTAAGATCCATAAACTTGCACGGTTTATACAACGGAGATAAAAACTTACATCTACACCAAGTCCTGCACATGACACTTTCTAGCATCTCTTCAGAACTGAATAGATAATGGATAAATAAACAGACTGTGATACAGCTATACAAATACGGTGGGGTCTTCAGTAATAAAAAAAAATGAGCTATTACATCACAAAAAGACATGGAGGGCCTCTGCTGCTACGTGACCGGAAGTTAGTGTGAACAGGCTGTATGCTACAGGAGGAGCGGAACGTGCAGGGCAGTGAAACTGTTCAGCATGATACTGTCCTGCTGGACCCCAACGCATACAATTGTAACAAGTCAACCCTGAAGCAAATGGTGGACTTTAATTAACAATGTATCAATGTTAGTCCATCAACTGTAACAAGTGATCTCAGACAGCATTGTACCCATACTGGGTGGAAAGAAGGAAATGCAGGTGTAGGCCACACAGGTTTGGGTGAAACACCAGAGTCCTCAGTTTGCACTGGATATGGCAATAGGCACTCACGAGAGACTTTCTCCATAACAACACAGGTATGTGTATGTGTACATGCATGTGTGTCTGTGCATAGGGAAACATCCACATAGCTGTCTCCTGAAAAGACCTGGACACAGTGACCAACTGCTGCCCACAGTGTGTGTCTTTGGACACTGACCCATTAAAAGGAACCAGGGTCTCGAAGAGAGCTGGTAGAGTTCAGGCCTGGGGTGAAGGAGGAGTAGGTAAGAGGGGAACCCTATGACTACACAGTAAGGATGCCTCCGAAGACCACAGGTCAAGTGGAAGGGAGCTTCAATGGTACTCAACTGCAATGGGGTGAAACCCCGAAAACAGGTTTACATCCCAGCGTTCATCAAGAGATGAATATTTTTAAAGCAAATGCACTTTCTCGGGATATCAGGAAACCAACTCACCCTGGAAGATAAGTGCACTAAATGAAAACAAAACACAACAAAACCTGAACCTTTACTAGGCCTTTCTGCTAAACCTCTACCATTGGCTAGGTGTCTCTTCATAAAAAGCCAACGGATAGGATTATCATATCCGCATCCTGAGCCTCAGTGACTACCAACTTCACAAAGGAGAACAGCCAAGTCCTGCCAGGAAGGGCACCAGGTCTGCAGGCCCCTGGTCTCAGAGGGTGGCTGGCACTGGGGGGTACAGCTGTGCATGTCCAGTGTCCAGTCCTTCCACAGAGAACAGTGAGAGTCAGACACGATTAGATCACAGTGTTTACAACTGGATTTGGGTGACAAGCCACCCAAATCACTATGGAGGGGATGTTAGGAAAGTGGGGATTGTGGGGATTTGGGGGCACAGAGTGGAGACTACCAAGGAGTTCACTCTGACCATTTGCTATGTTTCCTGTACCTGGCTGTATTTTATAATAACAAATGAAAACAACTCAGCTATATGCCTGGTGGTGTCCCATGCCGCCAAGTCGGTTCTGATGCATAGAGACCCTGTATAGGGTTTCTGAGAAGTGGCTGGTGGGCTTGAACCACCAACCTTGTGGTTCCAACTGACCTGGCAGTCCAGTGCTTATCAAACAGTCACACCAATGCTTAAGACATGCCAATTCCTTGCACACCCTCTCGTCTCCATGAGATTTAAGTAGGGAGAGACTGACTTACAATAAACATGATAAACTCCTCAACCTCACTACTCACTGAGGAAACCCAAGTTAAATCAAGACACCACCTTACAGTCACAAATTCCAAAGTCCGGTAATACCTAGGGAAGCCCACACAGAGGACCCAGAACACGCATGGTTTTTTGACCAAGTCTCCATTCAAGAGAAATTCTTACCGCGCAAAAGGAGATAGGAATACCAACTGACAGGGAAGGAGTCTTCACATCAAGCGTCAATCCTATCCCCTCTGTATACAGGGTAGACAGGGATGGGAAACTTAAGACACTGGCTACCTCTAAGCCATTTGAACTGCAAGGTCGGCGGGGCAAGCTCACCAGCTGCTCCTTAGAAACCCTACACAGGGTTGCTATGGGTTGGAATCGACTTAACAGCACTTCACAACAACAACCTAAAATAAGGGGCTGATAGAGGCACGAAGTGACTGGTTTACAAGTTTTCAGGATGGACTTTAGTTAACGGTTTAAGAGTATGGAGGGGAGGATAGAGTCCCCACTGAATAGTTTTCATCTTGTCTAGATGGGTCTGGTGAAAAGAGATGGGGATCAGATTCTTATGATTCAGTAGTGAGCAATTGTTATCATGACTAATTGTGACTATCACACTTGTAAAGGTAAAAGTTTTATAACAAAAAGGGGGGAGTAGTTAATCTTACAGTCCAGAAACAGAGGACCCTAGGACCATCAAGGGAGAAGAACATGAGCAGAATGTGCGACCCTATCCAGAGAAGCAGCGACACCAGAGATGGAGGCAGAGCTGGGGACATGGAGAGAGGGAGCAGCTGAGGACTCTGGACTCAGGGAAGGAGAAAGACTGTGGAATGTGCCCTATGGTTGTTTAACTGATTATATATATTCCTGAGTGCTTTTGTGTACATCCTCCCTCCAAAAAAGAAAGAAAAACAATGGGAATGGAAGCAAATACTGTTGAGTGATGATGCATGGAGGAGATTGTAATCATTGCAATGAAACTATGAGTGTAAAGCCGATGTTCTCCCATGGAAACTAGCAGTTAGTTCACAATTAAAAACTTTTTAAAATAAAGAAGGTAAGAAATAGTTTGTTCGTAACAGATCAAAACAGAAAGTCATCTCAGTGGAATGAACCCCCTGCCCTGCCCCCAGTAATCCCTGCTACCAGTCTTAAAACCCTCCTGGGAGGTTACCACACAAGAGGTGGGGGCGGGGGGGGTTGCAGGAAGCAGAGGTACACTGTTTGCAGGTGTCCTCGCAGCTGCAGCACATCGTGTCCAACATTGAGGACAAGATGCGTGCCCCCATGGTGGTGGAGTCGGTTGTTATGAGGGAGGCCCCGCCATCATTCACTGCTGCCTGCCGGCTCATTGTAACATCCTCCTGCCCTGCCTTGTCCTCCACCTGCTGACCGTGCAGATAATAAAGCACCCAACCTTTCAGTCCTTCAAACACATGAGTGAAGAGAATACTCCTGGGAAACAACATGGTCTGGGGAGAACGAAGAGCATGGGCAGAACACTGACAAGTGACAGGCTCAGCGGGCAGCCACACCCAAGCCTCACTAGCTTGCCGTTTTCCATGAGACAAGTCAGTTGTACAAGGTCTCATTCTAGAGAACACAACCGATGATGGGCTGGGGACCCAGACTTTTCAGGCAACGCGCTCTAGTCCTTGACTCCCCCGGAAGCCTATGTCTAAGCAAGGACCCTGCTGGGGGCACCCACCAGCCCACAGTGCTCTCTCCTGGTCAGGCCGCCTGCCCCCACCCCTGCTGCTGGGCTCCAGAGCCCAGGGCTTTACCTGCAGCTCTCCTTGAAGCGGCATTTCCCCTCCAGGAAGAACGGGCACGGTTTCAAGGACTTGTGGGTAGGGTAGAGGTACAGCACCCGGACAGCAGCCGAGCCGTCCTCCGTCTGTTCGGTGCCCACAATCATGGCATTGTGGTACTCCAGGGTGCCCCACGCACTGTAGTAGGGAGCGTTCACCTTTGTCCCACTCAACTCTTCCTCCTCGTCCTCCTGGTCATGGTCATGGTCACCCCCCTCTTCCCCCTCCTGCAGGGGCTTGCTGGGCTCAGGTCCCGTCTCTCCTTTAGAAACAGTCTCCGATTCTGCCCCTGGGGAGGCTGGTGGTAGCTCCACTACCTCTGCCACAGCCCTCTGGAAGGCCAGGTACTCAGTATCCTCCTGGGCAGGGCGGCCTTGGTCCAGTGTGGCCAGCAGCTTGCTCTTGCGCACGGACACCAGGCTGGCCTCGGTGAGACCGATCAGCTCCTTCAGGTCCCCCTGCAGCTGGCGAAGGTCGGCCTGTTCCGAGGCGTCCAGGCCGGCGCCCAGGGCCAGCTCTACCTGCTGCAGCTGCACACGGTAGGTCTGCAGGGCCGTCTCCAGGCTCTCCTCGTCCATCCTGGGGACCCGGGGCGCGGAGATGGGCCTCTGCGTCTTCAGAGCGGAGGCTGCGGGAGCCGGAGCTGCAATGAGAGGCCGGTGAGTCCCCGGGAAGGCGGCAGCAGACGGCGCAGCGGCCTCACCACGTCCCCAGACAGCCCCCGGGGGCGCGCCGGAACTGGCCCCTTCCAAAGGCGCCCAGCCTCAGCGCGCCCACCCCGCCTCCTTGGGACCGCGCGTCGGGCTTGCCGGGGCTCTCGGGGTGCTGTCTGAGCTCGGCGATCGCCGGTAGCTGGCCGAGAAGTTCGCACGGCCTCGCTGGAGCCCGTCCCAACGCCCCTTGGGCCGCCCTGGCACCACCTCTCACCTCAGGCCCGGGCCCCGTCCCCTCCGCCCGCGGTTCCCGCATCGCCCCGCGCGGTTACCGGGTCGCCAACATAGAGTGCCACAGAACACACGGGCTAGAGCGGCCCGGCCGCCTTCTCACCGCCGCCACTTCCTCCCGAGCGCTAACGCCGGAAGTGCGCGGCGCGCGGGGGCCGCCGGGAGCGGGCCTAGACCAGGCCGTCCCAGCAGGCGCCGCGCGGGGTCAGGTGTCGGTCGGCGGTGCCCGAGGCCCGGCGGACAGGTAGGCCTCGCGAACGGTGGCCTTCCCGCCGGCGTGAGCGCCTGAGACGGAGGCTGCAGAGGGGCCGTGCGGGCGACGAGGCCTTGGGGACCGGTAGCCTCCGCCGCGAACCCACGCCCCGTAGCCCGTCTCCAAAGACGGAGGTCCCTTCGTAACCTACGGTGGCTCCGCGAGTGTATCCAGGGCCCGAGTGTGGGCCGGCCGGGCGGGCCGGGGAGGAGCGGGGGGCGCCGGGGCGAGGGGTCCCAGTAGGACCGAGCCCAGATAGGCTTCCCGAGTGACGCCCGCGTCCCCGGGCAGGATGTACACGCTGCTGTCCGGCCTGTACAAGTACGTGTTCCGGAAAGACGAGTACTGCATCCTGATCCTGGGCCTGGACAATGCCGGGAAGACGGTGCGTGCTGGGCCCTTGCTCTAAGGACGGGGGAGCGGGAAAGCCAGCCGTCCGCCCACCCACGGCTGAGGCCGCCTTCCTTCCCCAGACCTTCCTGGAGCAGTCCAAGACCCGCTTTAGCAAGCACTACAGAGGGCTGAGCCTGTCCAAGATCACCACCACCGTGGGCCTCAACAGTACGTGGGCCTGCCTTTCGGGTCCCAGGGGCGGCCCAGTCCCAGTGAGAGGGCCCCTTGGTGACAACATACTGTCCCTTCCCAGTCGGCACTGTGGACGTGGGGAAAACCCGCCTTATGTTCTGGGACTTAGGAGGCCAGGAAGAGCTGCAGTCGCTCTGGGACAAGGTAAGGACACGGGAGGGACGCAGCTGCCCCCCAGGACCTCAGTTTCATCTACTTCTCTCGCCCTCCCTCCCTACGACCCTCAGTGAGGAAGCCCCTAGTTCCTTTCATTGCTGATGAGCGTGCAGGTGGACAGGTGACAGCGCAAACCCAAACGTGGGGAAGTCCTGGGGTCTTTGAGGTGGACCATTTCCAAGTCTCTTCTGATGGGCTCTCGGTCATCAGTCAGCAAGACCTGTTCTTGTGTGATGGCCTCTTCCCACTGGCTGACAGCTGCCCCAAAGGTGGACAGCAAACGCCACCTCGTTTGGCATGGGTTCTGTGCATTTTCAAGACCTTCGGGTTAGACTTCTCTGATGCCCCAGACAGTGTGGCACTGGAGAGTTAGTGCTGGATTATAGGGTTAGTTTGAACCACACAGTTGGCGGTTCAAACTCTCCAGCTGCTTCCAGGGTCTCTATGGATCAGAACCGACTCAGTGTCACTTAATGTCCCCAGACTGACTCTTAGACGAGGGAGAGTGGGTCTTCAGCTCGGCTCTGTGCCAGTAGTGAGCCAACAGAGTAACCCTTCCTTGCAGATTGGCTGGGGCAGGACCCAAACGTGCCTGCCTTGACACCGGCCTGTCTCTTCTGTGTAGAACCAAGTACCCAACCCCTGGTTTCTAGTCCCAGCAGCAGGCAGTGTGTGAAGTGTCCCCACTAGCTGACTCCAGCTGAGAGAGATGTTCAGTGTTGTTGGCAGGAAGCCCTTAGTGTGCTTTCTGTGACCGTCGGCTTTGGCCAGAAGTTGGGCCAAGCCCAGGGCTCTGCTTGTCAGAACCACGGCTTCAAACCGGTTCAGTCGTGGCCAGTGGAAACCCAGACAGTGTGCTTGTTGCAAACATCCAAATCTCTTGCACAGCAGAGGAGATTGATTCTAGAAGAAAACAGGCAATAAGAGCTGCCTTGAAAGTGTGCTGCGGTGTGGTTGCCACCATCTTTGAGCAGAGCATCACTGTCTATTTTCTAAAAACAAAAGCAACTTCTGTCAAGCTGAGTCAGACTCAGAGCCACCCTGCGTCGATTTCGCAGACGCTAGATCTTTATGAATGCTGTTCCTCCTCGGCTCAGAATCTAGTGTGCGTGACTTAAGGACTGTGCGGTGCCAGTGATAACCTGTTTCCAGTAAAGCCATGGCTGAACAGACTCACATGCAGAGAAACACGAGCCACATGGCTTATGTTCCCTGGCGAAGGTGGGGTTCTCAAGTCAATGCTGACTCATACTGTCCCTGTACAGGGTTTCCCAGGAACAGCTGCTGGGTTTGAACCTCAAACCTTTTATCCTACAGCACCGCGCCAGGAGTCCTGAGACTGGGATTGTTGTTGTTGTTGTTGTGTGCTGTGGAGTCGGTTCCGACTCGTAGTGACCCTGTACAGGGTTTCCAAGGCTGTAAATCTTTACAGGAGCAGAAAGCCTCATGTTTCTCCTACGAGACTGGGGTACAGGATGTTTATTGAGGATCAAAGCCTGAGAAAGGAGTAGGGAGGAGGCGGGCACGGGCCGAGGAAGGGTGTGCTGTTGTGGAGCCAACAGTAGGGCCACCGGTGGGCACTCTGTCTCTGGTAGTGCCATATCTGCAGATGCCGTACTGTCTGGGCCACCTTTTCCTCTGTGGACATGTGGGAGAGCAGCGGGGGCTCGTCCACATTACTGTTACCCGAAGTACATAGCCCTCGAGGAGCCAGAACACAGGAGATGGATGTGGGGTGTAGGACATGTACTGGGGCCAATTCCAGGGGGAGGGTCAACCCAACACATCCGGAGGAAGGCCCGGGGGCACACCTTGAGTTTACCCCATATCCCCTCTCTCTGGAAGTTCCTGATAGACCTTCCAGTTGGGGGGCTGCTCCTTGAGCAGCACATGGTGGCCATGTCAGCCTCAGTAAACCCACGGCCCCTTCTAGTATTACGCCGAATGCCATGGCGTCATCTACGTGATTGACTCCACCGACCAGGAGAGGCTGTCTGAGTCCAAGCGAGCATTCGGTGAGCAGAGGTGCCTGGGTAAGGGGTGGAGGTGCCAGGGGCCGTCCCTCATGCCTGCCTACGCCCCCTAGAGAAGATGATCACAAGTGAGGTGCTGGAGGGCGTCCCCATCCTGGTGCTGGCCAACAAGCAGGATGTAGAGGTGAGCTTCTCGTGGGTCCCCACCCCAGCTGCAGGGTCTCAGTGGGTGGGTGTGTTCCTCAGATGCCCCATGCATAACAGGGGTTTTGATTGTCCCCTGGGATCCTCCGATGCTGGGGTCCTCTCTGGGCAAGCCCGGCAGCCTTCCTTCCTCAGCAGGCCAGAGCAGTCTTGTTTTCAGCCCACTTCTACCCAGACACCACGTGCCACTGCGGTGCTGTCTGCTGTGGGGGAGGGGTGGTATAAGAAAGTTCTAGAACAGAGCTGCTGACGCCCAGCGTGGCCACTGTGCTGGCCCAGCTCCTGGGACCGCTGTAACCAGCTCCTTGTCAGCAGCCACATGGAGACTGTAGATGAGACAGGTGAAGGGCTGTAGGGTGAAGAGAGGCTGGGCCTGCCTTCACTGCCTCCTCTCCCCCAGACCTGCCTCTCCATCCCAGACATCAAGACGGCCTTTAGCGACTGCATCTCCAAGATTGGGCGGAGGGACTGCCTGACTCAGGCCTGTTCAGCGCTCACAGGGTGAGTAGGGGCCCAGACCGCTGGGGCATGCATGTGGCCTTGCATTCATACCTGACTTCTCTGCAGCAAGGGTGTGAACGAGGGCATCGAGTGGATGGTGAAGTGTGTCGTCCGCAACGTCCACCGGCCACCTCGGCAAAGGGACATCACGTAGACAGAGGTGCTTCTGGAAATGGCTCGTCCGCCACTGCTGGGCGCTGCCTGCCGGTACTCGGCCGGCTCTGGGCTCTGGGTGCACTGTGTCTTCTGGCTTCCTTATTCGCTTTGTGTTTCCTCTAAGACAAGCGTGGTGTCCACAAAAGCCAAAGCATACAGCGGCTTCTGCAGGGCCTTGGGGGGGGGAGGGGCTGAGCTGATTCCCGGTCTCCACCCCTGCCTTTCTAAAGCAGGGTGTTGTTGTGGGGGTCTTGTGACATCATTTCACCGGTGACCATTCCTGGCCCCCTTGGGATGGTACAGCACTACCTGTGACCTCTGTCCCCTGATCCTGGAGGTAGACGGGGGCCATGTCTGAACTAAAGGGCCCTGGATTCTAACTCAGGAGTAGGGGAGCTCCTTTTGGGGGAGGTGGGGGGGTTGACTTGTATGGAAAGGTTGGGAGTTTGGGCTGGGGTTTCTGGTGCCCCCATCCCACCTGGCAAGTTGAGATGCCTGCAGGACACAGAGCCCTCCCTCCAAATCTCCAGCTCTGACCTGGGTATGGTGTCTGGGAGGTGTGTCCCCAGGGGGCTGAGGTGATTTGCCAGCCTGCGTTCCTGGGAAGTGGGTATTCTTGGAGGAGCCCTGAGCCTCCATTCTGGAAGAACAGTGCCCCCACCCTGTGTGTGTGGGTGGTGCAGCTAGAACACCCTTTCCAGGCCCCTCCCATCTGAAAGGTGAGAAATAAAGCCAGTCTGAGTAGCTCTGTGCTTGTTGGAGGTGGGCTGCAGTGAGGGAGCAAGCAGGGAATGGTGACGCACTCCAGTGTGGGTCCTAGGACCTTGAGTTTGGGGTCCCAGTAAAGGGAGGGTATGTACTGGGTCAAGGTCTAGGGGGCTGCTTGGGTCAGGTCACTGACATTGCATTGCTCCCCTGGAGCCCAGGAGGAGTTAGGAGAGGACATTAGTCATCATATTACATGGGTATCTGGACTGAGGTCCCACCCCCGCCCCTGGGGCCTTGAGGAGGGGCTGAGTCAAGAAATAAACAGCTGGGGCAGGGGTCGGCAGCTCCTCCCTCTGAAAACAGTACAACTTCCAGAGGAGAAAAGCCTTGATTCTCTGAAAACACGTGGGATGCTCAGGGCAGCCGGGAAACCGCATCCAGTCCCAGCAAGGAGGCACCCTGGATGTCGACCAACTCCTGTTCCCCTCCTGGGAAATTCCCTGCTGGCTCCCCTGGGCAGAGTTCAAGGCGCATCAGCCAGCCATGCCTGGTGTAGCCTGTTCCTGGAGACAAGTTGGCCTGTGGGAGCCCACTGGGTGGTCCCTGCTCCTGGTCCCAGGTACCACTGATGCTACTAAGGGTAGGACTGGGAGGTTCTGCACACCTCGCACTGGCCCAGTGCTGGTGGACTGGAATCTGAAAGCAGATGCTTTCCCACCATCCCCTGGCATCCAATACAGGAGCTGCCCCTGAAGGCTGCCAAGCAGAAGGATTCGCTAGGGAAGCCCAGGGGTGGGGCCAGGCAGCCCTGAGAGCACTCGGGCATTACAGACACCATGATACCAAACGGCTATATCAAATAAACCTTGTAAAGGAGACTGCCTGTGCTTCAGGTCTAGGGACAACCCTGGGAAGAGCGGTAAGGAGGAGGAATAAATAGGGGGGAGGAGGGGGCGTGGAGGAAGAAGGGGCTCAGAGCACAGGGAAGAAGCGCGAACGGACACTGCGTTCCAGCCTGGCCAGCCTGGCGGTTCGCAGTGCCTGCAGAAGCTGCGTCCCCAGGGCCCCGTCTCGTGCGCCCATATCCGCCAGCTGCTGTCGCAGTTTCAGCTGCAAAGCAGCACGACCCTCTTCCGGTGGCGCGGACAGCCTTCCGGTTCCAGGGCCCGCCAGGACCTGCTGCAATCGCAGGAGCCTCTTGAAAGAGATGTCCTGGAAGGCCACGAAATCCATAAGCGCGCGTTCGCACTCCTCGTGCTCTGCGGAGACAGGAGGACGCGGGTCAGTCCCTCAGGCACTGACAAGCCCGGACAGGCAGAGGTGGAAAACCGAGCCAACTGGCACCGGCTTGCTCTATCCGGGAGAAGCACGCCGGGACGCTACAATGGAGCTTCCGGGATGAACTGTGGCTAGAGGGGGAGGGTTTGGAGCAGAGCAACCGAGGACCTGGAGCTCTAAGACGACCCGCCACCGCCTCAGTTTCCCAGCGTGAGGTGGGAAAGCGCCTCACCTGGAGTGCCTCAGGCTCGAGCCTTGACTTGGATCGGGGGCGGAGCTCACCTGGCTCCCCCAGTTTCGGGGCGGTGAGCGAGAGGCGGGAGCAGCTGGTACACAGGACGTCGTGGAAGGAGGAGCCCGGCACGTTGAGGGCCAGACCCAAGGCCGTGCAGTTGCGGTGGGGCTGGCATCGCTCTAAGCTCGAGCTGCCGGCCGAGAAGGTGCCTGGGGGGCATGGCTGGCACTGCGTGTTCCGGCTGGGAGTGCCTGGAGTGGAACACGGTAGTACAGGGTCACGGGAGCTGCCTGGCCGTCGTCTATCCGCCCCACGCCCCGACTCGCCTGGACACCCACCGGGAGCGACTACACCGGCGCCGGGTGGGCATTGCGCGTGCTCCAGGCAGAAGCCTGATTGCGCGAAGAAACCGGGTCGGCAGCGGCAGGCTCGGTTGTGGGTGGCGCTGCAAGGCCGCGCCTCCTCCTCGTGTTCCCCGCAGATGACGTTGCAGTAGCGGCAGCGCCCCAGGTAGTTCCAGAATTGCGTATAGTGGCGCGACGGGCACGAGCCGCACGCCGTGGGACTGTCCCGGCGGCAGGGCTGCTGCACGAAGGTGCCTGGGGGACACTGGCCGCACACCAGCCACTCGCCAGTCTCCGTGTCCCGCCACGGGAAGGTGGGTGCGTCAGTTGCCATCCCGCGCAAGGCAAGGGCTAGCAGTAGGGCGGACAGCGCACAAGACCGGGCCAGGCCCCTCCACTCGGCCACCCTCATGGTCCTGGCTCGAGCGGTTGTCCGCGCTTTCCGGGGGCGCCCTGGTGTGAGGCTCAGTAGCGCCACGGAAACCCCCCGCCTGTTGTTTCCCCGGAATGCTCGCCCGGCCTGGATCCAGCCCTACCTGCCGTCGCCCCCGTACGCCCGAGATCGTGTCTCTCTGGCTCGGTCATTTTAAGCGGCGGGGTTAGGGCGGGCTAGTCCCGCCCTACAGGCGGAGGGGGGAACGTAATCACTTGTGTAGGGGGGCCGGCCGGTGACTCAGTTTTCTGTAGTGGCGCAGCCCCCTCTCCCTTTGCCTTTTCAAGGGGCAGTTCAGAAACTACGTGTGACCACCCACCCGGAGGGCAGGGGCTCTGCAGCCCTTCCATTTGAGGTTCAGTGGGACTCCTCACTTGCCACCTTTCTGAAGGGATAACCCAGGGATGGGGGGGGAAGGGGACACCATCTTGGGCCCACCCTTACCCACCGAGGCCAGGCAGACACTGGGCAGAGGCTCAGGCAGTGACTTTATTCAGAGGAATTCCAGTTGTCAAAGGCAGACAGCAGCCAGTGGGCACCTCCAAAGAAGTCCACACCGCCCCCTCCTTCCAGGCCTGGGTCAGCACCAAGCAGTGTTCTGGGGAGTTTCACCAGGGGTCCGTGGCCCAGGAGACACTGATGTTGGCATAGGGTCCCTTAGCACCAGCAGACCTGGGACCTGGTCCTTAGCTGGCTCACCAGGGTCCCCGCCAGAAGACCTGTGACAGGCTCTGCTTCCTAGTGGCCGTGTAGCAGGCTGGGCATGTCCTAGAGGCCTGTGGGGACAGAGGGCTCACTGCACAAGCTGCCCAGCACACTGGGGCCTTTGGGGGCATGGTGCCCTGTGGGAAGGGGGCCGACCTGGAGGTGCTGGCGCCAGCAGGCCTGGCAGCGGTGGAAGTCGCAGGTGGCACACTGGAACAGCACCTGGTCATCCCCACAGCCACAGCACACGGAACCCCCTGCACTGGGTTGTGGGGGCACAGGGACCTTTGCATAGGCCTGCTCCCTTGACCTGTCCCACAGGGGGTCTGACCAACCACAGGGAAGCCTGGGGTGTGCCCTTCTAGCTCCCGTGAGCTCTGCTGGCCTCCTACTCTCGACTTTGCTGAGTTTTCCAGACTGTGAAGGGCCTGGGGCCCAAGAGCTGAGCTGGGGACCCTGAGTGATTGGGCTTGGAGGGGTGGTAGCGTCAGGGCAGTACACCCTACCCGATCTGGCCGGCGCCCTGGCCTCATGGGCGAGCTCAAGGCCAGTAGGCCCAGCAGGGCTGGCATCCCAGGCTCCTGGGGGTCCAGTGCCCAGGCCTGGGGCAGGCTGGCCTGTCAGGTCTGCGCACATCTGCTGAAACTGCCGCTGATGGTGCGGGCGCACGAACATGCCAAATCCTGTGAGATGGGGATACTCAGCCCTGATACCTCTCCCTGGGTCCCCCCTCCCAGAGCACAGCCCCATGGACACTTGCTCTGGAGCAACGGGAAGTCCTCAGGTCTGGCGGTGGTGAGTGCAGCCACCACGGTCACCACCTTCTCATAGTTGTCATCCTTCTTGTACGTGGTCAGTGCTGCCAAGAGCTGGCTGCAGCCTTCAGACCCAAGGGCCTTTCGGACGTCCGCTAGATAGGAGGTCACAGTAGGCCGGCTCTGCGGACCTGTTCTCAGGTGGCCACTGGACTCCCCTGACGAGAGAGGACCAGGCTTGGAGGCCACATCAGAGCACAGGGTCCTGGAGCACCTGCCTGGTTCTGAGTTAACAAGGGCTGGAGACCCCCAGGCCTGTATTCGAGAGCAAACCCCCATGAGACTGGGGCTCAGGGACTCTTCCTGCCGACAGGTACCTGTAGCCAGGTGGGGCCCACCCTGGTTCAGGTGTGCCCTAGGGTCCAGCTGCTGGACGGCACCCTCGGAGACAGTCAACTTGGGGTCAGGCTCCCGGCTTCCTGGGGAACATGAGCAATGAGTCCTTGCAGTCCTGCTGGGCCTGAGCCTAGAGGGAAGCACCTCACATCCCCAAGTCTGGGAAGTCCCCACAGGGAGGAGGTGGGACTACCAGGAAGATGGGCCCCTGACAAATGCCCAGGCAGGCTTCAGGATCAGAGACAACAGAGGTGGTCATCACGGTGACAAAGCAGGGGGGGATGGTTCTCGAGCTGGCCGGCCTTGAGGGGATGGGGACATCTGTTATTGGGGGAAACCCCTGCTCAGGTGTGGGTTGTCTATTAACTAGTATGGGAGTAGGTGCTGTTCACGCCAGGCTAGACACAAGTCCGGACAGATGGGGGAGGGGGAGAGGGAACACCGGACCAGGCTCACCGCTGGGGTTGGGGGCCAGCTGCCCTTGAGGAAGGCTGTGCTCTAGCCGGGAGCCGCAGCCCTGCCCCGTCAGCCGGAGGCAGGCCTCCTCAAACCGTTGCTTGTGGTGGGGCCGCACAAACTGGTAGAGCCCTGCAGAGACAGGGCACCAGGTTGATGTTTGTCCAGCCCCTTTTCATGGGATGGATGACCTCTGACTCGATTTCTGCCACTTCTCTCACCTTGGAGCAGGCTGTGCTTTTTGGGGTCCTCAACAAAGAGGGGACCGAGGCAGGCAGTAAAGTTGTCAAGGTCGTCGGAACCCTTATAGTCCCTCAGGGCCCGGGTGAAGACGTCAAAGTTGGCCTGGCTCAGGGCCTGCTTCAAGGCTGCCATGAAGAGCTTGGCTCTGTCCACCTGTTCACCGCATGCCACCTCCTGGGGCACAGCCCATGACGTGCCAGTGTGAGTCCCTCCCCCAACCCCTCCCCACTCCCTTCCTCCTGCAGACCCCTGCCTTAACACCCTGCTCCTCATTCTGCCCAGAGAACATCCAGCATGTGTACGGCCCCCACCAGGCCCCTCTGTCCACAGAGGGGGTGTCTAGCTGCTGCCTCCTTCACGCCCTCCTGGCTTGGTCCTGAAACCAAGGGACGGACGCACTGACATTTGTGGCTTTTCCAGGACGTGGGCTCCCTGGATCAGACTGTCACTAAGGAACTAGTAACTGCTTCCATCTGAGGCCAGAAGTTGACAAACCACTCATCAGCACGCGCTGTCCCCGTGTCCACAGTCCCCTCCTATGCCATGCAGGCCCCAGACCCAGTGTGCTCAAGGGCCAAACCCAATGGTCAGCCTGCAACACCAAGGGGTTCTGGGAACCCTCTATACAACCCTAATCACCAGGGTGGGATGCTGGGGGGTGGGGGTGGGCGGGGAATCCCTCGTGACAGGCAACAGGGAGCCAGTTTCTGAGTGCCTTTGTGGAAAAAAAAAAACAAAAACAAAACCCCAAGCCTGAGGTAGCTTCTGCTGAGTGGCTGTGTAGGGGGGTGTTTGTCACACTCGGGACACTGTGGGAAGGGGAAGGGAGCTGCCTGGATTCTACCACTTTCTTGTAAAACTGAGAGGGTCTCAAATACAATGTCAAACTCCAAAGACTAAAGCTGCTGAGCACGGTGTCAAAGGTGCCAGGTTCTTGGTGCTCCAAATCAGATGATGGTTTTCAAAACTAGAGATATGGGGCAGGCTGAGGCCTGAATGTTTGTGAAGTAGGAGTGACCAACAGAGACAATTCTGTGAGGACTTCTGCTGGAGGAGGGGGGGTATGTGGAGCTGGGGATTGGCTCTGACAGGCGAGGGTGCTGTGGCCTTTTCCCTCCCTGCTGTCCTCTGAGCCCCCAGCTCTGTCCAACCCCCTGCCCTACCAGCACCCACCATCTGCCCAGGTGCACCTGTGAGTGGTTGGGACCACTGACGAGCTTGATCCTCTTCCTACACCGTCTCTGCTCATCCACCAGCCTCTTCTCCTGCCTCAGGCCCAGGGTGGAGAAGCACTGTGCCTGGGAGCAAGAGCCACAGTCCACTCCACTCTCTTGGCCCCAAGTCCCCGAGTCCCCACACCCCGTCACAGCAGACATCCCCGGGTCAGGGTGCAGGGGGAAGTGAGTGAACCACTGAAACAGCCTCGGGGGCTGGCCCAACATGGTGGGAGAAGAGTCCAAAGCCCTCAGCAGGAAAAGCCCCATCCAGACCAGGAGACCAGTGGCTTCTGGGTAGCTCAGGGAAGAGCCAGCAGGAGAGGCCAGACCCAGGTGGGGTGCAACTGAGTGGACTAATGCCCAGAATCACAGGGACTTCAGATCCCCTTACCTCTTGCTCCCCGGGGAGGGTCTCATCCCTAAGCCCCTTGGCCTGCTGCTCACTGTGCTCCAAAGCAGCCAGCAGCCCCTGGGGTCTCCTCCAGGCTAATGCCAGTTCCTGTTCATACTCCAGACACATACTGTTCTCAGTGTCCCCAGAGGCCGGCGAGCCTGCAGGAACACGGAAGGAGTCAGCAGGAATCTGGTGCGTATGCACACCTGGTCCCCGCCCCACCACCATGCCCTCATCCCTGAGCCCCCACGCACACACAGGCCTCTGCTGCAGGCTGGGCACATGCAGGTCCAGACTCCTGGCACTCCTGGTTGGAAGCAGGGGGCTGGGCAGTGCAGCCCCCGTGGTAGCACCCACTCCCAGGGGGGGTCCTGGAGCCACAGCACGGGGGGTGGGAGCAGGCATCTGGTAGGAGAGAGGTGGCTGTGAGAAGCCCCTCACCACTCCCTACCAGTTTTGGGGGGACAACTCCTCCCTAGTGAACACAGCACCCGTCTACCGAAACTTACCGTCCTCTGAGCTACACGGAAGAACTGGGCCACATCACGGATGACAGGGCCGAAGCTATCGTACACTTGGACAAACGGACGTACCCAGGACGGGAGCTGGGCTCTGGCATCGGCATGGGCAAACCTGAGGGAGCAGGGCTGTCTGTGGGATCCTGCCTGAGGGGCTAGGGACAGATCCCTCTGGAAAACCCAGGGTCCCTCCTAGGCTAGAGGGGTTCTGTGGAGGCAGTGGGGGTACTGTAGTCACCTGTGGTCACAGAGGAATATGGCCCCATAGTCCTGACGATGGCGGATTACCCGCCCGATGGCCTGGTTCACGGCCCTGGACGCCTGCTGCCGGTACCACTCTTGTCCAGAGAGGAACTGCTTGAGGATGGGGCCATCAGTGGCTGTCCACTCACCCTAGCTCCCCTAGGTCCCAGCTCCCTGGCCCCTTACCTGACCCCTGGCTCCACTCTGGCCCCTCATCTCATCCAAGAACTGCATCTTGAGGACAACCCGAGGGTCCATGCGTGGGGGGTATGGGAGGCCCGTGATGACCACTCCCCGGCCATTCATGTCTGCGAAATCCAGCCCCTCACTAGCCTGGGGACAGGGACAGGGAGTTGCTGGGCAGAATCTACTCGCTTATCCACCCGTCCCCTTTAGGGGAAACCCCAATGTGGGAGGGAGTGATGGGTCAGGTGACCCACTTTCCCCCCTAAACTCCACGATCAACATCCTTCTGCTCTGTGGCTAGGAGCATGAGGCAGCGGGCCGGGCCCACAGTAAGGACAGTCATGGTCAGCTCCTCCCGGCCAGCATCTGCTAAATGGGAGGGTGGGGCCCATGGTGTCGTCCAACCCCAAAGAGGTCTCACCTTCCCTCGGCACACAGCCAGGAAGGTGGCCCCGCCCGACCCTGGACTGCCGACCTTGGTGTAGTAAGCATCCATGACCTGGAAGAGGAATCTGTCACCCTAAACTCCAGTCCCAGGCGGCTGGCCAGCAGGGTCCAGAGTGTCGAAAACCTCAGAGAAGCCCAGGAGAAGAGTGGGTGGGAAGCATTCACTCTGGTCTAGCCAGGTGAGAGCCACCTGGGGGGGCACAGTGGCCAACAAGAGCTGGTCAGGGGCAGCAGGCCAGTCTAAGAGGCTGTGGCCATGGGAAGGGCAAGGGCCAGGGCCAGCCTGGTGGACAGACCTCAGAGAAGCCGCCTTTGCTCCTGGGCTCCACAAACATTGGCTTTATCTCCTCAATCCGCCGGGCGAAGTCTCGGGCCTAGGGGAGAGACTCAGTGTGACTGCCCAAGCCTGTCACCATTCCCCAAGAGAAGATGGCCACCCTCTTCCGCCACCCACCCCTCCTGGGCTCCTTTGTCTCCCTACCTCCCACCACACCAGGGCATTGGGGGGGAGGGGTGTAGGGACACACCCGCCAGAACTCCAGACTTTTCTCCATGACGGGGTAAGAAGGAAAGAAGACCAGCAAACCATGAGGTACCACGCGGGCGACGTTGCCTGGGAGCAGAGGCCCATGGTGTAGTCAGGCTGAGCACTAAGAGGCTCCCCCTGTGCTGTGGGGTTCAGATGGGGACAGGGACTCACCGACAGCCTTCCCTAGTGAGGAGAGGCACTCCTCAGAAAACCTGTGTGGAGAATGGAGAGGGCTGCTGTGAAGAGCCCAGGCCCGCCTCTACCATAGGGACCTCAGGCTGGTACCTGGGCCACTCGGGCAGCAGACAGACTGTGGCCTAGGACCACCTGGGAGTCCACAGGAAGCAGTGTGGACAAGGTCTCCAGGCAGAGGGCAAGAAGTGGCTGCCACACCCCGAAGCCACCCCCCGTCTATAGGGCCGCTTGTCTCATCTCCTCGCCTCCCTCTAGCTTACAGTACACCCCCCGCTGGCACGCTGACCGCTGGGCCGGGGCTACTGCTGCACAGGGGTACCTGACCACGGCAGCCCGAGGCCTCTGCCTATGCATAAGCTCAGCAACCACTCCTCCATTCCAGACCTGGGTCTTACCGTCTGTCAAATGCAGAGCTCAGCTGAACCCCATCGGGGCCTTTTGGAATGATTCCCACCCAGATCTGGTGCTTGTCAATGACATGGGGATTCTCCAGGCATACCGGGAAAGGGCTGCATGGCAGGAGGGGTCAGCTGAGGTGGCTACAGCGCACTCACTGCCCCCTCCGGGAAGCCTGGGCCCCAAGCGCCCACAGCGCAGCATTGCCCCCAGCCCAGGGGCTCCCCCTTACATCTGCATCTCCAGAGCCAGGGATGACATGGGGGAGAGTGTGCCGCTGGTGAGGATGAGCGAGCGGACACCCTGGTACATAAGCTCACGCATGCTGTGCCCGGGGCTGAAACACCAGTAGCTCAACACCTTCCCTGGGGGACAAGCGGAGAGGGCAGAGATGTGGAGCTTCTGTAAGGGGACCTTTCCTGGGGGGATGCACGAGCTCATCTGCATCTGGGCCCAGTCACTGTGTCTCAGTGTACTAGGGAGAGTGACAGGCAGTGCAGGGGGCTGCAGAGGCCACAGCCAACGAAGGCCAGGCCCCAGGGCCCCCAGGCCCGGAAGCCCGGCTAGCCACCCTGTGATGGGCCTCCTCCCTGCGTCGGTATCTCCGGGTATGTCGTGTGAGCTCACACATGACTCTGAAGTCCAGCCAAGGCAGCAGGGATGATACAGACCAAAAACCCTTTCGGGGGCCAGACCTAACCAACAGAGGAGACAGGCCTGTGGCCACCCTGAGAAGACAAGGACATGCCATGATAAATGGCAGGTCCTAGGGCTCAGGGGGCTCTTTAGGAGAGAGATGAAGAAACCTCAGTACCCCACCCCTGCCGAGGAATACATTCCCCCTCCCGCCTCAGGAAGATGACATCACTTCCTGTCACTACCCAGGCAGGGAGGAGCTCTTTCTGAGAATCCACAGCATTTCCAGGGAGGGGGCTGCGAAGGCCGGAGCCCAGCAGGGCTGGGGTGCCTCAGGTTGAAGGGGGCTGGGAGCATGTGTCCCAGTTGGAGGATGAACACATAGGACCAGGGATGAAGGCCTCCTTACAGTGGTCAGGCCATAAGTTTCTGTGAGGATGTGGTGACCATCACAGCCAACAAGGAGCCTGGACCAGATCTGGGGGTGGGGGGCATTGTCACAGCTGGGAGCCCAGAGGATCATCACAGCTACAACAACTTGCACTTTGGGGGCTGGTGGCATGGAGGAACCCTTGTGAAGTCTGGACACAAAAAGGCGGCAGGGCCAAGTGTGGCCAGAAGATGGCCTCAGCGGGGCAGGGACTGGCCCAACACTGGGGTCAAGCACCTTCCCCCAACCCTCCCCCCCACCCCGAGCTCTACCTTGCTTCTTGGCAGCAGCAGCACCCCAGACGTCTGCCCTCTGCCCTCTCCTGCGCTGGCTGGTGTCAGGGTGAATGTGTACCTATAGGGAGGGTACACACAACAGCCCAGGCCTGCTGCCCCCAATGCTCCTGCCCAATCCTGAGGGGATGGGGTCATGAGGCACCCATGTGGCTCCTACCTTGTAGAACTTGGAAGGCCCCTGCCCCATCATGGAGTCAGGGGTGGCATCAGGAGCATCTGTGCTGAACACCATCTGGAGGGCAGACAAAACAGGGACTGAGCTATGCAACCAGAAGGGGCCACCTCAGGAGAAACAAAGCCACTGGTTCACCGTAGTTCTAAGAAGGACCGGGCTGGCTGGGGAATGAGCCCTTATCTCTCTGGAAGACATCTGCTCACTCACTGGCACCGGTGGGCCCTGGGGTATGGCCCAGCATGGCTCCGAATTGGTCCTTTGTCTCTGTGCCCCCTCCCTCACAGGACACAGCTGACCACTAGTCTTGGAGGACTCCCACTCAACATATCTTCATAAAGACTTGAGAGCAGGCAAGAAGATGAGCGCAAGGCCAAGGAATCAAAGGGTGCCCCCTGTTACTACAGGGCAGGCCCCACCAGGTGACAGGTGGACAGGCAAAATGAGAATGAGGCCATGGACTCAGAGGGTGCCCCGGTTACTACAGGACAGGCCCCAAACCAGGAGAAACCAGAAACCTGCCCATGTGACGGAGAAAAGGGCGAAGGAGTGGAAGCCCTGGCAGGCTCTCGAAGAGGTGCAGCGGCAAGTCAGAACCTGGGGCATTGGCCCTCACACGTGTCCACAGGCACCCACACGTGTGTACCTGTTTACACACACGTGTGCATGCACATGTGTGCCTCTATAGTACAGTCCTGCCCAAGCGTGACCTATGGGTGAGGAAAGGGCACCCCTCACAAACTCCAGAGACCACTGAGGCTCTGCCAGGGTCCTGCCTGGCACGGAGGATGGCCAGGGTCTCACACAGCCCCATCCTCTGCTGTGTCCCATGCTCAGTCATACCCAAAGGGTCTTGACCTACTCCAACGCTCATTGAGTGCAGTGCAGACTCCATCCCTGAGGACTACTGACCCCACATACCCACCTCTGCCCACTCCGCACCCTACTCCAAGCGATGCCCTGACTGCTGCCCACACCCAACACGAGCCCTGGTAGGAGCCCCTGGTCCACGAGATGAGCCGCAATGCACAGCGTATGAGGGTCCTGGCTGTCTGCTGCAGCACCAAACCTTGACACCACCCATGGGGGCTGCTGAATCACACCGTATCTCAGAGCATTTCTCCCCCACCCACGCCAGCCTGAGGCGTCTCTGGTCTGGTACCCTGGGCACCTCCCTTCCCACATGGTCTTGGCCCGTCTGGACATGAACATCTTCACAGTCTGCTCAGTTAGCCAATGCCAGACTTCTCTGGCTCAGAGAGACTGTAAGGCCAGGTTCTCTGAAGAAGGCCACCCGGGGGGAAGGTGGCCTGAGTGTCATTTACAAGGACCTCAGCAGCAAAACTTGGAGAAGAGAGCAGAGACCATGCAGAAGTACAACCACAAGGGACAGGAGGGCCAGTCTGATCTCAGGTGACCAGGAACAACCCTGTACTTGGAACATGGGCTTGAGGAGTTGGGGAGCCGGGAGCACTTCTGTGTCTGCACGGTCTCAGCCAAGTGAGTGGGACAGACAACCCCACACACTAACACTCGGGTGCTGACCTCTCAGGGAGCCCCTCCAGGGCAGACCCCACCCACACTCAGCACACGCCTTCCCTGACAGGAAGAGGACTGGTCGGATGAGCAAGCTGCCTGTCAACTTCCGCTTAGCACTGCAGCTGCGGGGGCCCGTACAGGGCGCAGGGAAGGAGGGCAGAGTCAGGTCAGAGAACTGACAAAGTCCCCAAGCCAGTGGGGTGTGGAGGCGGAAACAGTCACGGCTGAGGTAAGTTTCTGTGGGTGAGCAGCTGGAGCTGTCTCACAGACAGGCTGACTCAGACTGCTCGTCTGGGAGGCAACAGAGAGAGGGCAAGGCCCGCTCACAGGAAACCTCTCCTGTTCTAAGGGCCCAGGAGACCCCCGTGCAGGACACACCAGCTGGACAAGAACTTGGGGAGAAGAGCCTGGGTACAGATCTCTGGCTGCCTGACTGTACCTCCTGACTTGCTATTCATCTCTCTTTGGCAGGTTGAGTGCAGGTGCCCACAATACAGACGAGGAGACAAGCTTAGACAGGTGACGTCACTCAGGCCCAGGTTCTTGGCCCCTCCCCAAGCTGTGCTCAGACACACACATCTGGGCTTGTGGTGTCACGCTGTCCTCCACTCCTGTCCCTCACTAGGACAGAGCAGCTACAGAGCTGCTGGCCGAGGCCTCTGGAAGCTCGCATGAGTGCCAAGAGGGGCCTGGGCTTTACCACCAGACCACAGACTCAGCCACAACGGCCCACGTGCTTCCAGGAGGGCAAGCACCTACCTGGATGGTGTCTGCCAGTTTCTGCAGGCCCACTGTGCTGGTGAACACCCCGGCACCTGCAGGCAGTGACACACATGACTATTGTGCAGAACCAGACCAGGTTCCTGCCTCCCAAGGACAGCAGGGTGCACCCAACAAATCCTGGCCACCTAGACAGAGGACACACCCAAGAAAGAGCTGTCCTCTCCTGGGTTCCGACTCTATGGGGCTGGGAGCTGTGACCACCCTGTCCCCAGACCCCAGAGGGGAACGAGCCCTGGGGAATTGGACTGTTATCCATACAGGACATACGGGGAGACTAAGCCTGCCACGTTCACACTCCACGTGCCTCGGCAGCACATGACCTCAGTGGGCTGGCTGGGACGCAGCTACGCAGAGGCACCCTGAGCGACCAAGCTGGTAAAGCTGGTCATGTGTGAGTGCTACCTGAGCACCTGGCAGCTAGAGCCGCCTCACCAGGGAGGCCCAGCTGGCAGCCAGGTTGACCTGGTCACTAGACCCCTGGCACTGAAGTCTCCACGTCCCAATCAGGGAGGTATGAGGTGTTGGCATGGTCTAGTGGCCCCCAATAGCTGGCAGTGAGGGTTGACAGCAGCTTGATCCAGACAGGAACCCGTCCATCTGCTCAACACCTCCCTCGGGGAGTGGGGGGGGAGGGGGCGGAACGACAACTCACGGCCCGCCAGGTGCTGGATGACCTGATCCAGTGAGTCCAGGATGCAACTCTTTGTCTGAAATGTGATCTGAGCTTCGGCAAACAGCTGGAAGATGTAGCTGACAAGAGAGAAGAAAAAGTTTAGGCCAAGCAGGCCAAAGTAATTTCGGGTCGGAGGTGAGAGGTGGGCTGGATGGTTGTCAGGGGCATCCTGTGGGGCAGACTTTGGGAAAAGCAAGGAGGTGGGGGCCAGAAGCCACACGAGGAAACACAAGTAAAGCTCTGCTGTATCCATAGAATAGAGGTGAGGCAACTGGGCCAGAGCCTTGAAGGGCAAGCTAAGGGGGAGACAGCTGGAGCCCAAGGACACAACCCTGCTGCCCAGAGCTGGCTCCAAGAACGAGGCTCTCTCGGCATTGGCTCAGGGGTCAGGCTCTGCATCTGAGGTGGTGATAAGAGCGCTGTAACAAGGTGCCAAAGACCAAGCGTTGTTAGTGAAGGTATTTCAGGGGGAAAAGCCAGGCTGGAATTATAGAGGGAGGAGATGCAGGTGAGTCATGAGTGAGAGTGTGATGTGTGAAAGCTGTGTGTGAGGGCCGTGTGTGAGGGCCATGTGTGAGGGTCGTGTGTGTGAGGGTTTTGTGTGTGAGGGTCATGTGTGTGAGGGTCGTGTGTGTGAGGGTCGTGAGTGTGAGGGTCATGTGGGCGGACAGACACACATAGCTACTTGTTGCCCATCCCTCACCTCCCCGGCTTGGTGACACCACTGTCTCCTGGCAGCTCGATGGCATCAATGGCTCCTTCCAAGCGAAGCAAAATCACTAGAGACAAGAGGCGGCCGTCAGGGTGGTCCCACCCAGCAGACCAGGTGTAGGCAGGAGATAGGGGTGGCACTCACTCTTCAGCTTGGCGATGTCTTCAAGTTCCATGTTCAGCCCTGGATGAGAGAAGAGAGCAGACATGCTGTTACGGCTCTTAAGGCTCTGGGTGAGAAAGACGGGGACACAGAGAGTAAGAGTTGCTGGTACGTGTCACTGAGTCAGCCCCACTCAGGGCAACTGTGATGGACTGAATTGTATCCCAAAAAACGGTGTGTTGTAAATGCCGACCCCTTTACACCTGTGGAGAGAATCCCATTTGGAAGTGCGTTTTGTTGTTGTAGGGAGCCACCAAGCCGGACCCGTATCAACCCATATGTACAACAGAACAGAACACCTCCCGGTCCTGCACCACCTTCAAACCGCCTGCTGTACCTGAGTGCACTGTGCCAATCCATCTCATTGGGGGGGGCTCCCTCTTTTTCGCTGATGCTCCACTTTACCAAGCAGGATGTCCTTCTCCAAGGACTGGTCCCTTCTGGTAATAGGTCCAAAGTATGACAGACGAAGTCTGGCTATCTAGGATTTTAAGGAGCATTCTAGTTGTACTTCCCCCAACACAGATCGGTTTGCTCTTCTGGCAGTCCATGGTACCCTTAATATTCCTCCCCGACACCGTAACTCAAATACATCTCATCAATTCTTTTACGGTCTTCCCTAGTCACTCTCCAACTTTCACTTGTATACAAGGTTACTGAAAATACTAGGCTTGGCCGAGGCATATCTTAGTCCTCAAACTGACATCTCAGCTCTTGAATACTTTGCCTAATACAATACGTCATTTGATTTCTTGACTGTGCTCTATGATTGTTGATGGTTGATCTGAGCAAAACGAAGTCTTTGATGACTTCAATCTTTTCTCCAATCACATAGATGTTGTTTACTGGTCCAGTGGTGAGGATTTTTGTTTTCTTTTACATTGAGGTACAACTCATACTGAAAGCTGTGGTCTTTGATCTTCATCAGTAACTTTTTAAACTCCTTTTCACATTTAGCAAGCAAGACTATATAATCAGCATATCACAGGTTGTTAATGAGTCTTCCTCCAGTCCTGATGCCATGTTCTTCTTCTCGGATTATCTGCTCAGCATACAGATTAAATAAATATGATGAAAGAATGAAACACTAGTGCACACCTTTCCTAACTGTAAACCATTCAGTATCCCCTTGTTCTGTTCAAACAACTGCCTCTTGATCTATGCACAGGTTCCTCCTGAGCACAATTAAGTGTTCCAGAATATTCATTGTTTGCAATGTTGTCCATAGTTTGTCATAACCCACACAGTCAAAAAACACAGGTAAACATCTTTCTGGTATTGTCTTCTTTCAGCCAAGATCGATGTGACGTCAGTAATGATACCCCTCATTCCATGCCCTCGTCAGAATCCGGCTTGAACATCTGGAAGCTCTCTGTCATTGCTGCAGAAGTGTCTGAATTATCTCTAGCAAAATTTTATTTGCATGTGATATTAATGATATTACGCGATGATTTCCGCATTCCGGTGGGTCACCTATGTCTGGAATGGGCACAGATATGGATCTCTTCCAATCAGTAGGCCAGAGATGGGTGAGCGCCTCCCTTGGTACAGATGAGAGGAATGTCAGTGCAGGGTGTGTCTTACAGCCAACTCTTTGGAGATATAAAGCAAGCAGAGAAGCAAGGAGAGCTGGGGGAAGACACATGCTAAGCCGCATGGAGACCTAAGCAAGGAGCAGAAGCTGAGACGCGGCCCCTTCCGCAGAACTGAAGAGATAAAGCCTTCTCCTAGAGCCAGCACCGTGAAATCAGACTTCTAGCCCCTTCAATTGTGCGGGAATGAATTTAGTTGTGTGCCTTCGGTTGTAGTAGCACCTCGCCCCCCAGGCCTGCGCCCCCCTCACAGTCCTTCTGCTCAGTCAGTGTCCAGGCAGCTCTCCCTCATTTTTGCTGACCCTCTACTTTACCAAGCATCATGTCCTTCTTCAGTGACTGGCTGCTCCAAAGTCAGTGAAATGAAGTCTTGCCTTTCCTTCTAAATCTTTTACGACCCTTGTTTACATTTTTACGTAGGTCAAGGATTTTTAAATGACCAGAGAGCCTGACGTCTGAAGGACTGAGAGGTGCTATGCTAATACAACTCCGTCCACACACAGGCAGCGGACACCCCAAAGTTGTCAAGACTGCACAGCAGTGGGAGCAGTCAATGCCCTAGTGACCTCACATCCAAGTAAGTGACCCAAGAGAAGAAAACCATCAGCAGCCGAAGACATCCACGCCACGCTCACTAAGGGAAAAGCCTGCAGCAATTAACGTGAAAAGTCCCCACAAGTGGTACGGCAAACACAAGTCATTACCACACACCACGTAGAAGACACGCAGAGATCACGCTACAGCCACGTGTACCATGACTACCACTGTAAGAACACACCTACAGATAGCCCGTGGAGTCACAGGTGGCCAAGGACTCGGACGACTCATAAGTGTCTTTCAGACTAACCTGTTTGCTTCTTCAGTTACAGAAAGTAGAGGGCAAATCAATAGCTGCTGTGAAGCAAGTAGCTGAGAAAGCAGTCAAGGTCTTCAGAGAGTGCCAGAATGATGGAATAGCCCCGCCATGGTTTGTGGGGCTTCACTGTGGCCGAGAACTTACCGGAGCCACCCATGCCCACGTCAGGCTCCAGGTAGAGTTCACGCTGCTGTGCGGCCTTGGTTTGCTCCTGCAGGACCTGGTCTATGACATCCAGCCCAGAAGCCAAGTCATGGGGGGTCAGGTCGAAGGATGCCGACTCCTCACACATCTTCTCCTGAGAGCCGCGACACCACCCAGGGGCAGGGACATGACCAGTTAGAGAACTGGGAGCCTGTCCATCCCTATGACCCTATCCTGACAGCTTCTAAGACCAGGGGTACCCACTGGCAGATGGAGGGCTCTACTGGTCCAAAGATGTGCATGGTTTGGCCCATGTGTTTCCAAATTATTTTATTCATGCTGGCAACATTTCATAATTGGAAACATCCCATCAAAATCTAGATTTTGACTTCTCACAAAATCAGAAGACATGGAAGGCAGAGCCCACGCTCCTCCAACAGCAATGTTGGCTGGAACAGCACCCCTATGGATGGCTGTCCCATCCAGGGCTCTCCTCTAACACCTCCATCAGAGCTGCTGGGGGTGCTGGGGGTGGGAGTGAGTAGAGTGGCCGCCAGAGGGCAAACAGGGGACAGTAGGAGGGAAGCTAGGCCTGCTGGGTCTGGCAAAGGGCTCTTGTGAGGAAATGGGGCCAGATAAAGGTGGAGACTGTGTTCTTAGGGGAGGGAGGCCTCAGGGTCTGGATAAAGCTCTGCCAGGAAGATGCAGCAAGTCCTCCCACAGGAGCCAAGGAGGGGGAGGGCCCAGACTCACCACGTTGTGAGCTTCATCAAAGATCACCACTGTCCCCTTCAGGTCAATGCTGTGTGCTCTGCGGCTCTACATGGGGAGGAGGGGATGGGGGCTGGAGTCCACCGCCAGGGACAGGGAAATTGAAGCAACCAACAAGATTCCCAACTGCTCCACACCCAGCCCACCACCAGGCATCGAGGTCTTTCTAAGGCAGAGGGCATTCCCAGCTAGCTCCCGTGGTTGTTCCCTGAAGTCTCAGCACCCTCTCTAAGTGTAACCAGGCCATTTGCAAGCCGGGGCACCTATCCAGCCTTTGACAGACAGATGACTGGGAGCAGGTGCTTTCTTCCTGGGACTCTTCTTCTTACTTTCTTTCTCTTAGAGTCCAAGTTTCTAATTCTAGTCAAACCTGATTTCTTGATTTTTTTTTTTCCCCTTATGGGAAGTGCCTTGAGAGTCCTAGTAAGAGATTTGTGCCTATGCCAAGATGAAAAAGATCTTCCCCACAAGTTCTTCCAGAAGTGGTATAGTTCTCTTCCAAATGGATATCCAGCTACACTAGCCCATTTCCTAGACTAGCCTCACTCCACTCAGTGACCACTCTCTGAGAAATCACTCACTGTGTGTGCTTGGATCTGACAGGACGCACGGCCCCTACCAAGACTCTGCCATCCTGAGGGTTGTAGCCTCAAGCAAGCTGTGGGCTCCACGGAGGGAGCCTCCAACGAAGCTTTCAAAATGGCATTTCAAGCCTGTGCAATTCCAGGCTGGGCCCAAACTCCTACCCGGAGGTTCTCATGCCAGCCAGAGGGAAACCGTCAGCAAACTCTGCTGCTCAGAGGCCGAGTCTGATCTCCGCTCCCCACCGCAGCAGTTACCCTTCCTGGCTAAGACCACTGACGAACTCACTGTCCTCACTGCCCCCACGTCCACTCTACACCAGCCACTCCATGCTCCTCTCTGACCTTTCAAACAGTCAGTACCAGCATTCCAGGCTCCGCCACCGCCAACTGTGGCCCACTCCTTCACTGACGCTGGTGCGTCTTAATGACTGTCTGCTGCCCCAAGAACCCATACCCCCAGCCTGCCCAGTTTGTGGCCAGTTCCAGGCCCTGCTCAAAGGCCACAGGTGCCACCCAAGCCTAGGGACACCCCATGACAATGGAACCATCCGCCCATAGGCTGTGGGCACACCTTGGGGTCCAACAAGTAGTTGTACGGCATAAAGATGATGTCGGCTTGCTGCTTCAGGTTCCGGGAAAGGTAATATGGGCACACCCTGGCAGAGGGCAGAAGCAGAGAAGATGCTGAGGCCACACACAGGAAGCGAGCTGGCAGTAACACAGGGAGCCATACAGGGGAGCCCCAGGCTGCCTCAGTGTGGCCCAGCCAGGTAGGGGGCCTAAAGAGGTCAAACCTCTTATGTTCAGCCATGTGACCCTGTCACCAATTCTAAAATCCGAAACAAAAACCCCCAACCCACTTCTACAGAAGGGAAAAGCGCTAGAAAACCACAGTATCGTTTCCTTTAGAAATAGGAAGTCTTTCTTATCATGACTTGAATCTCCAAAACCAGAAAAAGGTCCTCAACTTGCAGGCCTCAGAGAAGGGGGCTACACGCTCCTGGGGACACAACAGGCAACGTACACAGCATGTAGCACAGCCTTCTGGGACAGAACAGCCCACGGGAAGAACCTCCCACAAGGCTTAGAGGCGGAGAGCAGGGAGTTCCGTTTTGACTTATATACCTGAGAATCACTTACTGTTTCATACTGAGTCTCATCAACAATAAAGTACAAAAGAAAAGAGAGTCCTTGGGTCTCAGCACACCCAAGAGAAACCACCCTGAAGGGGGTGAGCAGCCCAGTCAGCCCACAAGCCCCCACATGGTGGGAGCGGGGGCCTGGGTCATACTTGTGCCTGCTTCCACTCTTGACCAGGTCCTCGATGTCCAGGATGGGGGTGACCAGCTCCTTTTCCAGACTCTTCTCTGGAGGTACAGGGAAGGAGTCAGCACACACTTGGAGTCCCCCATGTAGGGCCTCCCCGCACCCAGAGATGATGCTTAGGTGCCAGCACTCCCCCATCCCAGAACTGCAGGGTCTCCCCACACACAGAGATGATGCCCAAGACAGAAGTGCTCCAATGTGGTGAGAAGGAAGTGTGACCACCCCAAGACCTCTCCCCTAAGGCAAGAGATGATGCACAGCCAGCCACCGTGGACTAGATCCAGAGGAAAACGCCCATTGTGTGGTCTGGAACCCAGGGAAGTAGCACATGAGGCCCCGGAGCCTCACCGGCTTCCTGAATGGGCACCCATGGCCAGGGCTGAGTGTCAGGAAAAGGCGCCAACCCTCCCCAAAGGAGCAGGACATCCCCTTTCCAGGGCCACCCATCTTGTCCCCTTCCTTTGAGACCATCTTAGAGCAGGAGTGGCCACTTTACCTGCCCCTGGCCTACCATGGACCCTTCAGGCGTTCAGGTGGTGACCCGCATGTCCTGCCTGGACCTTCCCCCAAGGCCCGCAGGGTATCGAGTGTCCCTCGGCCTGCCCTGGGACCAGGAGCATGTACAGAAGCCCCTCTGGTTCCCCTTCATCACACAGCAGATGGCCAAGTTGACAAGGAGAGAAGACTTCAGTCCCTGACCACAGCCACTGAGAGTCCAACACTGTCCCTGCCTGCCACAGGTCAGTCAACATTGGGGCCTAGGGCCCGTTCCCTGCTGATGACCATCCAGCAGGCCTGGGTCAACACAGACACAGGGCAAGAGGTCTTCAGTGCCACCCAACCAAAATTCAGTTAACAAAATGGTGGCGAGGACCCAGTGGGCTGTGGGGCACTGCTGGCCACCATGTCCAGGGAGGCCTGAGTCCTTGGCCAGTTGTGAGGTTGTGCCAACACAGAACTGCACTGCGGGCTCCCAGCAAGTAGAGGCGCAGGTAGCCCTTCCTCCCAGCACACACCTGAGCTTCCGGGTAGAATCACCTGAGCCCCTTGACCCGGGACTGGCAGCCCCCAGCCCTGGAGGCAGGAAGCCCAGAAAACACTAGGACCCACCTGAGTCTGAGTTCCCTGAGCCACAGAGAACAGATGAATGATCCTTAGGCCACTGCCAGGTGGTGGCCAGCCAAGTGTGCTTTAGCCCCACTATGAGCACCTGCCTGAGCTGGAGGTCACAGATGCCAAGCCGACGCCATGCTGGCTGTGGTCACTCCCTCCGTCCTTTCTCCCAGAGCATCATAGCAACCTGTGTTGGGCACCCAGACCACCTTCCCAGGACTCAGGGGTCTCAGCACATAGTGACCACAGCACAAGGGCACACCCCACTATGCAAAAGGAGACCAGGCACAAGCTTCCAGAGTCCTAGCCCTGTGGAGCCCCACGAGCCATGCTTAACACCCCACGGTCACGTGACCAACAGCCATGTGACAACAGTCACGTGATAACCCATGGGCAGTGCTGTCACATGGAGACCCAGGGCTCCTACTCAGCCTGGTCCTAGGCCTCTGCCTGGTACATACCCACACGGTCCCTCCCAGAAGGCATGCAGGTTCCACACCCTCTACCTTGTCTGCACGGCTGGGACACAGTGCGCCCATCTACCAGGAAGTGTGGGAGCCCTTCCGAAACCCAAGTTCCCAGGGGCCAGGAGCAGCCAGTGGCCTGACCCACGCCCCTCCCCGGGCTCAGGCACAGCTCCAGCCTTCTGACCTTCGACATTATTGTAGTAATGGCAGGAGCGGCTCGCCACCTTTCTTCGGCACAGATGGATCTGGAAGGGAAAGATGCCAGTCCCAGATGAAGTCAAGGCTGGGAAAAGATTGGGATCTAGGCTCATTTCCCACTGTATCCCCAGCCCAGAGGCAGCACAGGGGGTGAGGAGGAGTATGGACTGGCCCCCCTGAAGCCCACCTGCATGTGGTTACTCTCCTGCTTCTTCACTTCAGGGTGAATACACAGCTGCTCCCGGGAACCCAACACACACACGCGCGGCCTGCTGGGAGAGAGAACCAGGTGAAGAAGTCGGCTTTCACAGCACAGCCCCGCAGTGTGGGCTGCACATAGGGCATCTGATTGTACAGATGATGGGGACAGGGCGGCTGGAGGAGAAGCGCGACCAGGGGACGGGCTTTCTCTGCTGTGAGGGCCACTGAGTCACTGCCAAGGTGGGCGAGGAGATAGGGGGATGAGACTCATGAGCTACTGAGAGTCCCCAGGCTCCATCACCACAAGGGTAGGATGCCAGGCCTGTTTGCACCTCCATATATGTAGCTCCCCCAGAAGGCGGTCCCAAGGGTTCAGAGGTCAGGCCTGATCCCCATCACAGCAGACACAACAACAACGCCTGCAAGGAGCTCAAGGCACTTGGGTAAGGACGGGCCTGTAGCACCACAACTGCTTCTGCACAAGTTTCAACTGTGGGAGATGCCTGACACCCTCCCCCCCCAGCCTGAAAGCGGAGCATTGCTCCCCAAGGGACAGCTCAGGAATGCCAAAGCCTACCACTCAGATGGCACTTGCTGCAGGCAGTCAGCACTACGCTAGGCCAGCCTCCTATCCCCCAGAGAGGAGAGGTTGGACATGGAACCCACCGATAGGCCGTGTTCCGAAGCTCGCTGATGACCTGCGTGAGCTGTGAGTGTGTCCTGGAGGCGTAAATGATCTTTGGGATATCCACGTAGCAAGCTGCCCAGGCATGAAGACGCAGAGAGTGTGGTCGGTCAGCAGCGGAATCCTGTGACCACTGAGCTGAAGACACTCAGACAGCCACAGACAGACAGGCTATCCTTACAGTCACACCGGAGGGGACAAAAAGCCCACCCAACGTCACCCCTTCCTTCGCCATTCCCACTGTAAGGTTGGAGAGCCAGGAAGGGGCGCCACCTGGGGTGTCTCCAGTGTCAGCCGCACTCTCCCAAGACGACAAGGTCTGGTTGAGGAACTGCTCTCCTTGCATCCTCTCTGCGATCTTGCGAGCAGAGATGGCATCTCGGAGGTGCTCCCGCCAGGCCAGCGTGGTGCAGAGCAGGCAGAGCGTCTTCCCCGTGCCCGTGGGGCTCTCCAGAATGCCGTTCACCTTCTGACAAGGATGGGGTGGGGCCAGAGAGGGAGGGGACAAGACAAAGAGGCCTTGCAGGACACAGACCTGGGACCTACACTGGGTAAAAAGGCCCATGACTATGGGTAAGGTCATTCAGCCCTTGTTAGCAAACACTTTACAAGCATTTCCCAAACATAACAGCATTTTCCAGCCTAATATAATTACTGACAAGAGTAATGAAGTGCCAAGTCTCGGAATAGAGCGTCAGCCTGCAGTTCCAGGTTCAGGCGTTTACAGTCCCAGCTGAAAGGAACTGGGTGGCCGACATATTGGTTCTCGGAGGAGGGTCATTGTGGGAAGCGGGAGACAGCAGACAAATTCTGCTAAGCTGTGCCCACCTCCACACGGCCTCCACAGCGCCACAAGAGCCATGGTCACAGCTGTACAGCTGCTACAGGAGAAGCCGCGGAACCGGAGGGAGCACACTTACTCCCTGCCCCCTTCACAGTCCAAAGTGTAATGTAAGCCTAATGCTTGTCACTTCATCTCAGCTCAAATGTGCTCCCTTCAGGGAAGCACAAGCACCTCACCCCAGCCCATCTTTTCCCTTCAGAGCACTCATCACTGCCTGAAAGCACCTGTTTGTTTACTTGTTCATTGTCTCTCCTACCCAACTAGAACAGAAGCCCTACTTAGAACCCAGTCCTGTGTCCAGACTGCCCCTCTGGGCAGGCGTTGGAGGTGGGAGCACGTGGGTCCTGGCCGAGGCTGGTCCCGTGTGGGCCCATTCCCTATACACAAGTCCCTCAGGGGCCCTCGGCCCTCAGCTTTACCTTTTGCAGGCACTCCAGGACCTTGGCCATGTACTCCTGCTGGCACCTGTACGGCTGGAATGGGAAATCCACTGTGACACCATTCAGGGTGATCTTGGGCATGGCAGCGGGTTCTCAGCAGCGCACAGAGGAGGGCAGAAAGGCAGGCTGCTCACATCTGAGAGGCAAAACTCTCTCCTAACATCTCAGGCATGCAATGCCAGGGTGGAGTAGGAGGAGGCTGTACTCGGAGGAAATCCTGTGACAAGGACACCAAGGTTGGGAAACAGCCTTCCTAAGGAGACAGGCTATTTGGTCAACCATCTCAGCAAAGACAGAGGGCAGGTCTGATATAGGAGCTCTGGTGACACAGAGGATTAAGTGATGGGTGACAAGCTCAAACAAGTTCAGTGGCTCAAGCCGTCTGCTGTCTGCCTACAACTGTACGTTGGAGGACTTGACACCAGCTTTGTTGGAGGGCAAGTGGAGTTTGGTGGGCCAGCCCACACCGCTCCATCATTCCCTAGGAGAGGCGGACAGCAACCCCAAGTCCTGAGTCGGCTGGGCCAGTTATTCATGCAACAACTCACCCACTCCACGAGAGAAAGATTGAGGTCCTAGCGGCGCCCAGTGGAGATTCAGCACTTCCTGCCCACCTCCTCCCTCCCCATTAATTATCCCTCCACCTGGGCAACCAGGTGTGGCTCTGACCCTGAGCAAGTCACTCTACTTCGCTAGACCTCAGTTCTGTATGACACTGGGACAAAAAGACCAGACGCTAAACAATGAGTGATGGTCACTCCCTCGCGGGCCCCGGCCACAGGAAAACGGCACCTAGCGCATGGACTACGGGTCCCAGGGCACAACGCGGCTGAACCGCCGCCGAGGGGCTGCCGGGAGGTGGATTTCGAAATCCGCCTCCTGCACTCGAGCTGCTTGGCTGAGAACCAGGTGCAGGGTCCCCGCGGAGAAGCTCCAGGGCCGGAGGTCCCAGGAACCCACCAATTTCGGAAGCTCAGCTACCCGGATCTCCGCTGTCAGTCGATTCGAACTTCGCGGGTTAAGGCGCGCCGCCGCAGAGACTACACTTCCGGCTATACTTCCGGTCCGTTGCGCCGCGCTCCTCCAGGAACTGCTCTCCAGGCAGAAGGGTCCGCCTGTCTTCCCGCCGATCACGTTGCATACCTCTTCCGCGGATCTGCGCTTGCGAACGGCACCTCTCTTGCCTTCCGTCGGATCTGGGGTCCCATCCGTCTCCTTCCTCGACGTCGTCACGCACCGGGATCTCCATCTCAAGACCTAGGCTAAACACCGCGTTGCTGGTCGTCTACTCAAAGCTCATAGTGGGTTCCCCTGATCCCCCCTCTTTTCACAACACCCACTGGCATCTTTGCAAAGCTGGAGTCTGAGCCAGTCACCCTCCTTAAAACCCTCTGGCGCCCCGGAGCGCCCTTTCGAACATCTCACCATCTCCTGTCCTCACCATCCCCGGTTCTCTCCCTCCCCTCGTCCAGCCACTTTTCTGGTCAGCTATCCAACAGGGCCTGGTGTGGCGCTGTGGGTTAACATGCTGCACTGCAAAATCAGTTTGAACCGCAAAGTCAGCTGTTCGAGCTCACCAGCCGCTCCTCGGAAACCCTATACAGTGTATCCCAACCCACGCCATCTTCTGTGAATGAGCTGCAGTGTGTACCCTGCAGAATGAGAGACCAGAGAAGAAGGCAGCCGCTTGGCCAACACTCTGTGTGCTCACCATCCCCAAGATGAGTTCCTTTTTCATGAGGAGACAGAAGCACAGAGCCATCAATAGACCACCAGCTGCTAGCGTTTGTGGAGCTTCATCTCTACACCTCTTCTCATGAAAACAGCTGCTCTCATCTCCCCAGAAGCCCCCAAATCGGCAGACTCAGTACGTCCAGGACCAGGACTAGAGCTGAAGGCCCGTCACAGGAGCAAGCCTCCGGTCCCACTGCACTATGAGACCATGGTGCCTTTGAATGATAACACAAAGTTGTCACTTTACTGACCTAAGCCTGAGAGCTGAGAGTCAGGGAAACCAAGTTGGACCTGACAGACCACAGAGATCCCCATCAATACCATCTACTGAGCATCTGCCCTGGCAGGCTTTGTGGGGCCCATTGGCACAGCAAGATGGATGCTAGCCCATACACACCATGTGTCCATGCTCTGCTGAGTACAGTGGAAGGAGATCAGGGGCCTGGCCTGGTCTGGAGCCTGCAGAAGACCACCCTGGGGACGCCACACTCACCACCCTCAGGCAGTCTCTGTGTGGGAGGATGGTGAGCAGTGGGCACTATGGCATGGTGGCCAGTATTATTTTAAGGTGCTGGGGGCCTGGGTAGGGGAAGTGGGAAGGTTGCTGGAGGAGAAAGGAATGATCCGCTCTGGTTTGCTTCCCCAAGACACAAGTCCTGCAGACGCCTGGAGTGGGTCAAAAAATGCATCCTGGGCCCCCAGTCTTCTCCACAGACCTCTGAGGGGCCTGAGTGGCAGTTCTCGAGGCCACCAGGCTATTACATGGGTGGGGTCACAAGGAGGTGCTCAACAGATATCTGTTGGGTGGCTGTGACCTGCAGAAGGGCATCATGGGTGGGACTGGGGTTAGTTTCAGGAGGTCTGACCTACAAAGGGTCAGAACTTGGAAAACACCTTTGGCATGGCTGCTTACAAACTGCCTCCAATTGACTTTGTGGGAGGCCAGTTCTGCTCCTGGCACCTGGCCCTGTACTGAGGTAAACCAGATGTTCAGTGGGCCCTGCCCCACATTCCGTGTGTGTCCTCATGCCCGCTATGCTAGGTGCTAGCCCATACAGCTGTTCCTAAATTCAGATGCGAAAACAGGGCAAAGAGAAGATGTGCCCAAGGTCACCTTGAGTCTGAGGCACACTGTCCCTTAATTAAACCTATATGTGCACACCCACCCGATATCCCCCAAAAAAGATTTTGGAGGGCCCGGGAAGCGGCATGCCTCTTCATGCCAGAAGCTGGAACTGGAGTGAGTCTACAGGACAAGGACATTCCCATCTATGCTGCAGGAACTGGTCACCCTTCCAGGAGGACATCATTAATTCTGCCAACACCCTGTGTGCTTTTCTCCTCTTTGTCCTCAGGCTCAGCTGCTGTAGGGGAGCAGGTGGGGCAAAGTGTGTGTGAGTTATTCTGCTGAGGAACAAATTGCCACAAATTTTGCAGCTGTAAGCAGCACTATTCATATTTGCACATCAACCACTAAGTTGAAGAATTTTACCAACTTCTTCAGTCTGAAATTGATCAAACATGCAATCAAGATGTAATGATAATTATTGGCAATTGGAATACAAAGGTTGGGAACAAAGAGAAAGGATCAGTAGTTGGAAAATACAGGCCTTGGTGATAGAAAAAAATGTCGGAGATCAGGATAGAATTTTTCAAGACCAATGACTTATTCATTGCAAATACCTTCTTTAAACAATATAAAAGATAACTACACATGGACAAGGAGCTCTGGTAGCGTAGTGATTACAAGTCAGGCTGCTAACCTCAAGGTCAGCAGTTCGAAACTAACAGCCGTTCTGCAGGAGAAAGATGAGGCTTTCTGCTCCTGTAAAGATTTACAGCCTCGGAAACCCTATACAGGGTCACTGTTGAGTCGGAACCGACTCCACGTCACACTGTCACTGTCACCATACACATGGACCTCACCAGACAGACAGAGCACACAGAAATCAAGTTAACGGCATCTGTGGAAAGAGATGGTGGAAAAGCTTCATATGATTAATCAAAATCAGGCCAGGGGCAGAATGTGGAACAGACAATCAATTGCTCATATGCAAGTTCAGGCTGAAGCTGAAGAACATTAAAACAAGTCCACAAGAGGCAAATAGGACCTTGGACATATCCCACCTGAATTTAGAGATCCTTTCAATAATAGATTTGATGCATTAGATACTAATGACTGAAAGCAAGAAAAGAACATCACACCGGAAGAGAACAAAAGATCATTGAGAAGACAAGGAAAACACCAAAATGGATGTCAGAAGAGACTCTGAAACTTGCTCTCCAGTATAGAGATGTTAAAGCAAATGGAAGAAATGAGGAGGTAAAAGAGCTGAACAGAAAATTTCAAAGGGCAGCTCAAGAGACAAAGTCAAATATTATAATGAAATGTGCCAAGACCTGGAGTTAGAAACCCAAAAGGGAAGAATATGGTCAGCGTTTTTTTTTTTTTTAAGGTTTTTTTTTTGTGGATTGAATGAAAGTTAACAGGGCAAATCATCAGTTTTACATTCAACAAATCATACACCTTGTTTCATTACAATGATTATAATCCCCTTCATGTACCATCAGATAACAGTATTTCTCTGTATCCACTTTAGCTTTAGCGTAGTGGTTACGAATCGGGCTGCGAACCTCAAGGTCAGCGGTTCGAAACTACCAGCCGCTCCGCGGGAGAAAGATGAGGCTTTCTACTCCCGTAAGGAGTTACACCCTCGGAAACCCTGTACAGGGTCGCTATGGGTCAGAACCGACTCGAAGGCACTTAACAACAACAACAACACTTTAGCTTTACAACAATAATAACATCAAAAACCACTCAGGCATATATAATAATTTACATCTCCCAAGGGCACATTCTTCAAGTCTGCCTCCTGGCCACCAGCTCTTAGTCCCTCTCTTCTTAGTCTATGAATCCAGAGTCCTCAGCCACTCCCCCTCTCCATGCCCCCATCTCTGCCTCCATCTCTGGCATTGCTGCTTCTCTGGATAAGATCCCACATTCTGCTTGTGCGCTTCTCCCTTAATGGTCCTAGGGTCCTCTGTTTCTGGACTGTAAGATTAACCACTCCCCTGTTTTTGTTACAAAACTTCTACCTTTACAATTGTGACAGTTGCAATTATTCAGATAACAATTATTCACTATTGAATCTTACGAATCATATCCCCATCTCTTTTCACCAGATACATCAAGACAAGATGACAGCTATTCAGTAGGGACTCTTTCTTTCCCCCCATACTCTTAAACTAAACTGCCTCTTGAAAGCTTGTAAGCCAGTCACTTCGTGCCTTTATTGCCCCCTCATTTTAGGTAGCCAATGTCCAATTAGCCCATCCCTATTTACCCT